GTTCGGTGCTGAGCGGCGGCGGTCGCGCTTTTTTGTTCGCCGCTGAAAGGACCGGAGGACCGTCGCCGATACGCAACGAAAACCGCCGCGAATCCGCCGCAGAGTGGACCGAGGACAGCTTCGCCGTCGTGAATAGCCGTGGCCTCTTGTAAACGCGAACCGAGACGAAGGACAGAGACTCTTCGCGAAAAAAAAAACAAAAAAGAAGAACGCTTACGGATTCTTTCCTGTCGGAGATGTTCGGAATTACAGTTAAGCTAGCCGATTTACCGATATTTTCACATTCCTTACAACTGCCGAGATTTCGTTTCTTGAAGCTTGGTAGTTCAAGTAAGTATAGTCGTAAATGTACCCGGAAAAAATGTTGTAGTAAAAATTACTACAGATTATATTTCTTTTCACAATGCTTCGTGTAAAACTGGACTATACTAAAATTGTAATAATACAGAAAAAATTAATTTGCCGGTTTCTCTACCTGGATATTAAATACATTCAAGTAATTTTCAATGTGCGTACATATGACATTTTTAAACGAATACGTAATAATGTCAATTATAATGCCAAAAAAAAAGTCTCAAAAATCACAACAATTGTGTTGCAAATTTTACTACAATATTTCCTCCGTGTAACAAGCAGTAATCAAGTAGTATCAAACGATAAGACGCGGAGAGAACGGGGGAAAAAGATCGTGTGTGACGTTTATACAAAGAGATTTATGACACGCGAGAAATAAATATAACGAGAGCGATATTCGTGCAATCATCTTTTCAATAAACAGAGAAAATGCGACAGTGAGCAATATAATTTCGATAAACAAATAGAAATGCGAAAATAAATCAGTCAGAAGATGCGACGACGATTATTTCGCATATTTGAAGTGGCAGAGCGATATTATCTCCCGAAACTTTCGTCACTATCGCATCGCTATCTCTTTCACGTCGAGTCGTCGCTTTCGGACGCGCACTTGTCGCTCTCAAGGCTCCGGATATCGCTTCTGTCTCGCACGTGTCGCGAACGGGACGAAGATCGATACGCGGTCACAGAATAAATACGCGATAATAAGACACGAACGGGGGATTAAGGGCGGGAAACGTGCGGCTGGCGTGCCTGGCGCGCAGCGTTGACGTTGTCCTTTTAAAATATTCGTGTCCGCGGGATGTTATACCCGGCACGGGGCGAGCGGGATAATTTAAATTCAATGTATACACCAACCACACTGGCCGCTCGCAAATCGCGTCCTTCCTGCCATCCCCCCGTTCTGCGCCATCGGATGCACCATCTCGCGGCACGATGCATCGTGGACCTCGCACGTGATTGTGTGTGTGTGTGTGTGTGTGTGTGTGTGTGTGTGTGTGTGTGTGTGTGTGTGTGTGTGTGTGTGTGACAAAGAGAGAGAGATGGATTTGTTATTTATTTATTCAGGCCGCCTCGCGTGCATAATCGACACGCACGCACTCTTCCTCCCGTTCGCCTCTCTTTCACTCTCTTTCTCTATCTCTCTGTTCCTCATTCTCCCCTCCCTGTCCCTCGCGCACGTTCCTCGATATTTGGAATTCACTCGGACGATTATTGACCGCGCGTTACGGCATCATAAATATTACGGTAAGCATGTGCCGAGATAGAACGCACACAATTTTAATGGGTTTCGTTTAATTTCGGTCGCTGCGAGGTCAGCGTTTCGTTGCCGTTGTTATTATTATTGATGCTGTTGTTGTTATTGTTGTTATTATTGACCGGGTCGGTTCGGGCTGTGCAGCGACGAGCGCGATTAATCAATCCGCACGTCGATTATATATAATAACGCGACGCGGCAACGACAAACGGAATTGCAACGTTACGTGACGTTAATAACCGACGCTAATAAGCATTAATCGGCTGTAATGGGCCGAAAGAACGACGCTCGTCGACGGCAGATTAATGCTTCGATTTTGCGTTTCGACGCGGTGTTACGCGCGGCGAGTGTGTACACGAATCGGCGAAAATTCGAGACCGATGAGATTTAATCGCACAAATAGATAAAATTCATAATAGAGGGGCCGACCGCGCGTTTCATCTCGTTTACATTTTCCCGGTAACACGGAAATATCAGTCACATATTCTTATCAGGGTGATAAGAATGCCCCGCAAAAGCGCGAGGAGAACAGAACATTTAAATAAAATATTTAGATAACACGATACGCGAACTCGACGAGACGCGTTGGAAATGGAAAATGTTCGTCAACGTAATAATTCTACCTCTCGAGATCGCACGATGACTGTGCGTCATATAATAAACGTTGTAGAAATTGCCTCGAGAGATAATATCCAGGAAATATCAGGATGAGATCAAATGACATATTAATGACGTATTATTGACGTCACAGATGTCATTTAATGCATCATTGAAACGTCGTTTGACGTCACTGTGTTTCCCGCCGAGTATTCCCCAAGATATTTTCGATCGAAATCGCTTATTTCACACCTTCGTAAACGCTGAACGATCATCACGAGCGGAAGGCATCGTTGGGCGAGGTCCCAAATGGATCGATGTAGGGAAAATCACCGTGAACGTCGCACACGATGTCGGCGGAAGAGCCATCCCGCACTTTTTGTTTGTGTAGTCGCGAAAACCGACCAGCCGTCACACCTGCGCGCGCGTGCGTGCACCTGCAGCACCGCGTTATTTACTTTATCTTCAATGCTCGCGTGACATTCAAAGTTCAACGCGGACAACGCGCGACTCGACCAAATAATGAAACGCGTTCGTGCCACGAGTCGCAATGCTGCGCTCTTCGACGGCGATTATTTGTCCCCCTCTTTATTTAATCTGATAATTCAGCAAACATAAAAATAATTCTGTCTTAATTGAAATTCCCCGCTCTACGGAGAAGCACCCTTCATCATCCCAATGACACGTGTTTTATATGCGCGGTCGCTTTCAAACAGCTGAAAGGAGCAGATTACTTTTCCACGCTAAAATAACACAATATTCTAGAATTTATTCGAAGAAAACTACCGAATAAATATGTTTAACAATTTTATGTATAAATGATTAAGTAATATACATTTGAATAAGAAAGTTTATTTTTAGTTTTTGTGCGGAAATGTCACATTTTTCTTGGCGTTCCGAGCCTGCAGCTCTTTACACGTCTCCTTGGTCTGCATAGGTTTACGCCTTTACAATAGTCCAATCAAAAAAAATGAAAAAAGTTGTTATCGCGTTGCAACTATAGCCTCTCGAGTTGGAAATTTTATTTTTACGTTAGTTTTTCTTTTTTGTAAAGTAAAACAGAAATAAATCTTAACAAGGATATTCTCTCCCTAAAATAAGAGCCGAAATATTCAACCGAAAATAAAAATTCTGATCTGATAGACTATGACACAACAACACTATTTTATAAGAAACTTTTTTTATTTTTTGATTGGACTATTGTACAAACGTAAATCATGCAAACCGGGGAGGCGTGCAAGGACTACTAAATTCGGAGCAGCGGCGGATACTATGACGTCATTTCCGCACAAAAATAACTATTATTTCTTTTAAATGCGAATATTACTTAATTACATATATAAACCTAGAACATAATCATTTAGTAATTTTGTCGAAATAAATTCCCGAATATTGTTGCGTCTTCTGACCTTCGAAAAAGTAATGTGCTCTCTTAAAACAGAATCAAAAAGAGTATATTCGCGAGGACGGGCCTGAACCCGCTTTTTCAAAATAAGAACGAAAATAGAGCTTATGGCTACGTATATCACGATTAAGATACACCGCTCGACCCATTTCTCTTACAATTTCAGGAGTAAGACCGTTTCCCGGAACGGTCTTAGAATTTCTCTAACACAGTGCTGGTAACCTTTAGCACGGGACATATCGCAAAAATGGCCGATCGCGATCCGCATCCGAATTTCGCCGAGTCGTAAACTAGCGTCGCTAGGTATACTAATCTGGCGCGAACGCGCAAATTATCAATAGAGCTCGCACGAAAGTGTGTTAAACGGTTGCGCAAAGTGCAAATCATGCCTCGCGCGCAGTCACGGAGCGCAGTTGCTGATCGCGTTCAATCGGCAAGGTCATTGGCTCCCCCCGCGAGACAAGACGTAATTGCCGCGCCGTAATTGCGTATACCGTTAATTTTCCAGCGCGGCCACCTCGAACTCACACGCCCTGCCTCGTGTCGTCGTGGAGTCTCGGCCGCGGCGAATTAACGTTCCGGCGGCGTCACCGTCGCTAAACGGAAATTAATCGTCGCGCGCGCGTCGGTACAACGCGGCCGGAGTTATGCAAATAGGCTCGTTCGCGTTTTGACATACGGCCAGAGCTAATCCGTCAAGTGAAACGCCTAACTATCGCTTTAGCGACAAGCCAGCCGGCGCTGGTTGAGCACGGAACGCGGCAAACGCGTAAACACCTGAGACGCAAAGTGCGAAAAATAATTCCGCAGCGTGCATGACGACTCAACTTCGGCAATCTGTCTTCGCCTCGAATCTGAATGTTCTCTGTCGGTTTCTATCGTTCCTCCGGGGTTTGTGTAACTGCTACGTTGCTCATACGATCGGATACACGTTAAGTACTGTCCGACGCGCCCGCATATACGCGAGGAGACCTCGCATGACACGCGATTCAGCGGTTATTTCCGCTCATATTCCGGGAAAAACATTTAAACGTTAATTGCGTAAGTGAGAGAGATACGTTTCCGAGCACTCATAGAGCACTCCAAGATCGGATCCAGGAAAACTCGACTCATCTACTCCTTCGTGCATGTATATTTTTGCATTTCTAGAGATAATACATTTATAGTCGTATGTTATTTTTACTTAATATCTCGCTTGTGACTACAAAATTCCAAGAACAAAAAAACTTGCTATTATTCGAAATCATCTATATTAAACCTTCTCAGCTAGCGAATGCTAAGTGTTACAGGGCAATCCCGATCGCCGAGCGGTAAACGCATCGAAAAACACCCACGCGATACCGACTGTATCACGAACATGACGTAACGCTCTGTGTGTTTACTCACGTATAAATTCCCATTCGTTGAACCTTATCTCCGAACTCGACTGAGCTCCGTTCTCGACGAGCGACGTGAAAGATCGAAGCCGGTAATTGCCGGAGGGAAGGCCTCTCCGTCGCTTCTCCGCACTTCCTTTCTCTCACGGAACACCAGCGGGGCTGACTTTGCCAGGCTGGAAATAAAGAACACGTACACTTTTAGAGGAGAGGAGGGCTATCTCTCTTTCTCCATTTCCATCTCTCGACTAGCCCCCGGTTGGATAATCCACGTGCCAACGGCGGTCGTTATCACGATACTCCGAGGCAAACTTCCCGCTGCAGAAACGTCATGAGACACGGAAAAAGCGCGTTTCGAGCTCTCGAAACGGCCGGTCAAAAAAAGTGCTGAGGAAAGTTCCGCGGGAAAGCTCACGTGAGACGAACGAGATCAAAAAGAAGGAAACGAGAAAGTAACTCGAGGCACGAATCAATTTACAATCGCAACACCGCGATGTAATTATGGTGTATGATATTTTTGTAAAATATTTCTACGATACCACGCGTTATCTATAACGCAATGCAGTGCAGTCCTACGTAATTTTAATTCCGTAGTAAATTTAATTTATAATTTTAATTTCACGAAACGCGCGCGCGTCACGATTTTCAGTTGCCCCGCGAGCGCGCGGTTCACCATTGCAATTCTTCCGCCTCGCGCACGCGGCTGCAAATCTTTTACGCGTTTTCACGATTGTATTTTACAATTCCACGACTCCGCGACGCTAATTTCACGCGCGACGCGAGCTGGCAAAAAGGGTCGACATGATTCGCGATGCAATTTTTCGTGTTACCGGATATCGCGGACTATGCTTGCCAGGAGTGCGGTCGTTGATCACGTCCGGCGACAGTAACGGACGATCGATTTATTACCGGAGGAGCCGCGTCGCGAACGACCGCGGGACACCGTCGTGGACAAAAAAATCATTGAGCCCGGACGGGTTCGACGTTCCTCTTTCGGAAGAAAGAGAGAGAGAGAGAGAGGGAGAGAGTATGAAGCGATAAGGGGCTAATATAAGTGAAAATCTCGGTGTTAATATGTGGCGCAGAGCCGAGCTAGAGGAATGCTTAATGGTCGGGCAACACGCGATCCCACCCGGCCTTTTTCCTTTATTTTTCCCTCTTCCTCCCCCTCTTTTTCCCTCTCTTTCTCTGCCGGTCTCCATGTCCGCTTTGCACTGCTCGTCCTCCATATTTACCTCCTGCTGCTCCTCGTTCTCCCGTTTTCACCCAGTTACCGTGATCCAGCGCGTTCGAAATTCATGAGTGTGCAAAATGAACAACGAGAATAGCGGAATAAAAGCGCGCGGAATATGCTCGCCACGTGAAAAAATGCGTTGTTTTATTGCAATAAAAACATTTATGTTAATTAATTTCAGTACTAATACCAACGCGCGCTTGTATCGCGCGTCCTTTGGATTACGCTTTATTTCCTGACAACACACAGAACGGGAATTTCCGTTACACTAATTATTTCATAGAATTCATTGGCGGAAGAAAATTAATTGTAATACTCGCGATATTATACGTGATGTGTGTGTGTGTGTGTGTGTGTGTGTGTGTGTGTGTGTGTGTGTGTGTGTGTGTATCATATAGATATATCTTGTGCAATTTATACTCTCGACGTGATACTCGATTATTCGTCTCGCGTGAATCCCGTTCACCAATCGATCCACAAGCTTCGTAACAAAGTCGCTCTCGAATTTCCACTCGAGGCTCTTCGCGCCTCCGATAACGTTTACCCGCAGACTCTATTTCACGGCGATCGGCCGTGCAGCCGACGTGCACAGAGCCGGCCACGCCTCGATTTCATTCACGCTGCACAAAATCGCGCTCAATTATTCATGCGAAATCTAAGCCGCGCCTTCCCTCTTTGCCTCTCTTTCTCTTTTTCTCTTTCTCGTTCTCGTTCTCTCGATTAGATTTAAGTCGCGGCAAACAGCGTGACCGTGATCGTGCTGAAATAAATAATTCGTTTCTCCAGCAACGGCGAAATTGGCCTTCCGTGTTGTCAGCTCGTAAGGAAACGAGAATGAATCGTTAGAAGCGTACACTGCCTTGTCACGAAGTTTTGCGCCTTACGTATAATAACAATCATCGCGTGTACTCTCTGCTCGAGACGATTTAGGTGCCGCGCTCAATGAATAATGTCCACTAAACATTACTACAGTTAAGTTAAAACAAACTTTAATACGTTCATGAATAATTAATGACAAATATCAAGAAGAGTATCCAATATTTTCCAAGCATGTACAGAGAGAATGTTGTAGTAAAAATTACTGCGGAATTTTGCAATCGAAATATAGATCGACATTCTACAATAATATTCACTATGTTTCCAGCGAAATTTACCACATTCCTAAGCATGATAGACTTACTCTGACAGTCCATTCCTGCACTAAAAACATAATAAAATTGGAAAGCATTTATATAAAAAGAAAAAAAAAATCTTATATAACATTCTCTCCGAGTGTTAAACGATATAGCCACTTGAAAATGCGCATCTATAATTATTTTGAGCGGTATGTAATAAATGTGTATACGCGTAAATGTGCTTACAAAATTTTGATTCAATACACATAAAACAAGTACGTATACAAAGGAAAAAGAGTTCAAGAAGATTCCTCACAAGATCACCGAGTATCAAAGGGTTAAACGATCGCGATAGACCGGCTGCCTCGAGGATAATCGCGATGAGTTTCTCTCTGCTTCTCTCTCTCTATCTTTCTCTCTCTCTCTCTCTCTCTCTCTCTCTCTCTCTCTCTCTCTCTTTCCGAGTCCGCTCAACAGAAAGGAAAGCCGAGCACGCCGTTGCACCGACATCGTTTCTCCGCGGCGAAACTGGGACGGGGTTTTACGGGCGGTTATTTACGATCGAGGTTATGAGAAAGGCGGGGGGCCGCCACGCCGCCGCCTTGATCCGCTCCTCGAAATCTGCGAAAGGGTCACACCGCCCGCCGAATGCAAATTACGCGAATTACGTTTCGCGACCGCGGCTCCACGGGCCGGCGGATGATAATCAACGCGCGCACTTTCGCACCGTCGAGAACCACCTAGCAGGAAGAAACACGCCTTTATCGGGGTGAGCGTGGAACACGCGCGTGAGTCGAATATAACGGGGCAATGTGGTTTCGGAGTCTTAAAAATTCAACGAGAAATCTCATGTCTCGCGTGATCGGTAGTAAAATTGCAAAGGGATGCGTGATCGACGGCGCAGCGAGAAATATGACGGACAACGACGACCGTTGATTCGCGGTTGCACGACGGACGTCGACCGTAATATACGCCTCCGGGATATTGGAAACAAAATACTTCGCTTGATTATCGCATTGACCAAATTGCTGGAAATATTCGCGAACAGTTGATGGCGACGACGCATCGTCGATGCATGCCAAATTTAGCAAATTTGAATCGCGAATGCTGTCGGCTGTGTAATGTAACACACGACGCAACAAACATTTTGGAAATTTCACCGACGGTAACAACGGGACGAGCTGGCTTATGATACAATATATACGTGTTAATCGTACAAATACCGCGATAGGCTAATGTAGGTAATATAGGTAGACTTTACGGCAACTTTAATACGCTGAATCGCGAAATTCGGCAACGTTGAACCCCTTGCGATTGATCAAATTACAATCGTATTTTTATCACATGAAAATAGAAATACAAAAGAAATACGAGAGGAATTATCGGAATTTGTTCAAAACAATGTGTTACATGAGAATCTGAGTGTAACTTTTCATAAATTTGTTGCTGCATCAGTGCAACCAAAAATTTACATTATTGTATCAAATAAAATAATCAATTCAATACGGTATATTTCCGTCACAAATATAATTAAAGAAACTGAAAAGTTTTCATTATAAATCCTGCGTCGTGATAATCATGAGAGTAAGTCTATTTATTGGGTATATATATCAGAGGAAGAAAAAAGACACAACGTATTTATTTCCTTATTTATGAAACTTCAACAAAACGTTGCAACGTGTCAGTCGTTGGTTAACAAATTTTAGTCGCAAGAGAGAGAGAGAGAGAGAGAGAGAGAGAGAGAGAGAGAGAGAGAGAGAGCCTCGTTATCACAGATCTCGAGATGCATCGCGACGCATCACGATGATGCAACGAAACGTGCTCGTTCCAGATACGAGTGTCGCGATTCGTAGAGGCGATCGACATGCGATATTCTGAGCATGCGATTCCTAAGAAAGAGAGTGATCGTAGTCTTAGAAGAGTTCAAGGTCGCGGTGGATCTCCGTTCCTGTAACATGCATTCATGTTCGTCGTCCACGTCGGCGAGTTCGTGTCGACTCGTCGACAGGGAGGTGACGGATACCGAAGGTGAGAGTATTTCGTTCATCATTGGAAATCGATTCGACGAGGCGGCGCGATCATATCGAGATTACGTGGCGGATGGGACGATCACAGGAGGAATTTATTCGATCAAACTCGTCGCGCGCGCGGAGCTCGTCGACGATCGTATCGTGCAATTAAAGTCAAATTAAAATTATCTCGTTAATGTCGCTCTTATCGGTCGGAAAATCAGTAAACGTGGAATACGCGCGAGTCAATCGCACAAAACAATAAACCCGGGGGCGCTGTCGCCGAGGAGAATTTCGCTGATTCCGATTTCCCTTCGGCTATAATAGCTATCGCGAATCCAGTTATTAGCGCGCCAAAAATAATATGTCGCGTGTTTTGCGCGAATCACATTCGCCGTGGCGTAAACAGGAAACGGGTATCCGTAGCGGAAACAGACATTTCACTTTGACCCACCACGTGTAGATAAATGGAATAATTGCTAATTCGACCCCTGCCGACGGTTCACGATAACAGCTCAACGGCACATAGCATAATCGTCGCGTTATCGTCGCGCCACAGTATATCGTGATTATCCGACGCGTTACGCGCGCCGGCCGCGACGATAATCGCCACGCGAACCGCCAAATCTGCGAATAATTTTCCCGCGCGAGAGATTCGATTGTTTTGGCAGAGAAGAGGACTCAATAGTCGGCCAGAAGAGCGAGGGAGACGCGGAGACGACAACGACGACGACGACGACGACGACGACGACGACGACGACGACGACGAGGAGAACGAAGGCCGGTGCTGGCGCGGCGCCAACGCCAGCATCCGCTCC